TATTCTTTGACGAATTGTTTCGGCTATCGTCGGCAGGACAATAAATCTTGTACATACACATAAGGTTACACGTGTGGTGTGGACAAGAATTAAATTTTTCGTTACTTGAAAGTTGAATAAAAATCATTTGTTGAAATTCTACCAACTTTCTGCTCCCTCCATTCACTTTTACTTGTCACGATTTACTTTTTAAGAATCAAATTGTATGGACTTTGATCCAGATTTTATATAATTTTCAAACATCTAATTAATTTCAAACTTGAAATTTTGATTAATATTCATCAATTTATCTATACAGCTTAATTGAATTGACTCGCATGAAGCAAAATGTGTCAAGTAAAAATGAATAAGTGAGTATTTTCAAAGCTTAGTTTTTAAGCTAGTGAAAACTTATGTATTTAACCACTTTGATTTGGACTATATTACCTAATTCAATTAGTTTTTTTTCATGGTCAATAGGTTTACTTAATCACAACTAACGTTTGACTATTCACATTCTTTCTGTTCATTTAAATATTTGTGGCCGAATCATTAACAATTATTTTGTTTAACCCATCGATTAGTGTCCGCTGATATGATTAATTTTGATTCACCTTAAAAATTATCATTGAATGAATTTTCGTTTTGAGGGCTCAATTAACTTTTACATTAGTTATAAAATCCAATTTTTCAAGAATAAACTTAGAAGAAACGTGTCATACTTTTTCTTATGATGGTTGTGAAATTGTCTGGTGAGTAGAAATTAATGAGCATATGTTTGAATTTGAGTATATATACTTCCAAGCAAATTAGGCAAAGGCAAGATCTTCGAAAAAGGGAAATTGGAAAAAGTGTCACGAGCCCCTTAATCTTCGTAGAAATTTCAGTATAAGCCTTAAAAGTCAATATGAAGATCAAATAAAAAAAAAAGATAGAAATTAAAGTGATGAGGCTTGGACTAAAGAGGATTTGGAGCATGTTGTTGACATTATATTCATACTGGACAATACCCATGTGATCGTTGAAATTTTGACAATAATAATGTACGTATCAAGCAACTATAATATAAAAATTGGGACATTACTGTGAGTGTTGACGGTAACTTTTAGGTAAAATTGCTAATATAGGACATTACTGGTATGAAAGAAAATGTTTTTCACATTTTTTTCAACAAAAAGAAAAGTGATTCAAAAGAATTCATATTAATTGTGCAGGGTAATTAGTATGAAATATCATTTATAGGACGTGTTTTAAAATTTTTATTGAGGAAAATAATTTTCTTGGTTTTTTAAAAATATTTTTGCCAACAAAACGTGAAAATATTGGACAACATTCCTTGGTACCAAAATTCAAATATACGCACTAGAATCACTATTTGACTATGTAAATGCCTGATAATTAAGTTTGGAGCATGAAAATATCGTAGCTGGGTTGTAGTATGTGCTAGTATCTATTTTGTAGCTAAATGAAAACAGATTAACAATTAAGAAATTTTTGAAATTACTTTCTAATATTTATGCATGTGATCAATACTGTCTACACTTTCAAAATTAATTAATTCTATTTTAATTCAATTTTGAAATTGACAAGTGACTTGGGCAAACACTATTAATAATGTGAACAAGTAATAGGAGACGGTAGGAGTATCATTTTCCTATTAAGAGAAACTATATTTTTGGTCACGTAACTTGAATTCTGTTGTTCCATGCCCTAATCAATTTATCTAATCATACCTAATTCATAAATCATGGGAAATAGGTAACAATGTTTGGTGACATAAATTTATTTATTTTTCTATAAGAAATATGACTCTATACTTTTCTACTTTTAGAATATAATTACTTTTATAACTTGGGTCATTAATATAAGTACTTGGCATATACTTAATTTGTTTTTTGAACTTTGAAGTGATACCATTTTATTTTCTTGCGTGGGGTTCAACAAAAATAAAAGTTTCATCTCTATTAAATGTTTTTTTCAATGCACTTTGCAAAAGCCAATTAAATAAATCTTTCTTTTTCGTGTTGATTATGGGCCATAACGATCAATATGTTGAAGATCACTACTAATTGGTGTTAGGTAATATCTAGACCCTACCCTACAATTTCATGTATATTTTGATGCATTAATGTTTCTCTTTTAAAGCAGCAAATTAAAACTCATCTATTTTAGAGGTTTTAATCTGATAGTAATAATTGAAAACATTGCACAAGATCCCAACTTGGTACGTTGTAATCTTATGAATATAATAATAGAATTACACCAACCTGGAGCCTAGGGTAAGATTCCTTTATTACTTTCTCCGTTCGCTTTATTTGTCATAGTTGAACCTGAAATAATTCATTACAAAAAAATTGACATAGTTATTTTAACATATTATTCCTACTAATTGATGTTTAGTAGTATGATTTGAAGAATATACTAAAAGTAAAACATGAAAAAAAAAATTATTCTTTCTTGGTACTTTAAAAATACAAATAAAAATAAAAATATATTTCTAAAATAATCGCTTATTGTTTTTAAGGAAGAAAGATAGTAGGATTTTCAGACCGACACAATTAATTTCCCTAGTCAGTGGTCACAGCTTTAAAATTAAAGTGAGATTGTGGATTTTTAGTGCAGGAAAATGCCTACTTGATTACATTAGTACTTTCGTTTAAAGTCGGAATAATGAGACACTGGTTTTGGTTTTCTTATTGCAAAATTATATCTAAAAATAGAGAAATAATTGTATTTTTTTCATTTCAATTATCTGTGTCGTGTTATTAAATTAAAATATGTTACATATATATATTTTAATTTTATAAATTTAAATCTATGATATGTAAAATCAGAATGAAAAATTTGCTAGAAAAAAAAAGAATTTTTTGGACGTGATAAAAAAAAATATATGACAAGCAAATCAACATGAGGAGAATATAATTTTTTTTCTCAAAGGGAAAGGGGATTAAAGATGGGACAAATAAAAGGGCGGTAGCAGTGTAATAGCCGGTGGTTGAATTTTGACCAATTTTCGTTTTCTTGATTTTTGGTTAAATAGTAGACTACTTTCATTTTGTTTGTATGACTTTAATTGGCATGAATTTTAAGAAGTAAAAAAGATTTTAAATATTTTTATTTCAAATAAAAAATATGTAATATATTGTAGAATGTTATTTAATTTTATAACCTTAAATATATCATGCGAAAAATTAAAACTAAAAAGTTATAAAAAAAAAGAAAAAAGAGAGACATATACTCTTCTTATAATAGAATAAAAAAAATTGACATGTTTAAAATAAATTGAAACAAAGAAAGTATCAAAATATTATTTTTTATTGACCAATGTCATTAAGAATCTATGTTGAAAATGGAATCTTCGTAGCTCAATAATTAGTTAGTTGAACTTTCATCTTGTTAGTAAAAAAATAATTCTGCCTTGTAATTCCTTTCCCCTTTTCCTTCCTCAAAATTTTTTTTTTTATTTTTTTTAAAAAAAAAGGAAAATGGAAAGTGTATAACATTTGAGTACCGAAAGTTTGTTAAGATTAAGTTAACCTATAATAAGATAATTATCTATAACAAATTTAACATTATACTTATAATTGATTAGATTGTGTATATTAATATTGAAAATTAGCCGGTGGCTGAGCTCACTCTTCACCTAATTACTTTTCCACGTGGCTCTTCCATATTCCCATTTTACTAAAACATTAAACCCTTTTTACGATTTAATTTTCAGATTAAACTTAATTTCTATTTATATGAACACGTTGCTCTTTGAACGAATGAATAAAAGTCGGAACAAATTAAAGTCCAAATTCTGGTGCTAAAATCTTTATATATTCTATGAATCAAGTCACAACAACTTTTAATGAAAATAGATAAATAATCAGAAATACGCTTATTTTTCGAAACCGAAAACAAAAGACGGCTTATTTCTTATTTTCTCTAGTACCCGTTTTAAACCTTGATCTAATTACTCGTTGAGGAATTATTGTTGAATGACTGGTTTAGAGATCTTATGGTACTTGGATTCTCTTTAACGCAGCCCATTTTAAATTATTTGTTGTGTTTCTCTTTTATACTTTTAAAAAAAAAATTAATTAGGAAGAATTTTTAACTATTTATCTTTATTTATGTTTTAAGATATAGTCTCTAATTAATATCTCTTTATTGAAGATTTACTTTATTTATGTGTCATTTCAACGTGTTTGTGTTTTCGAGAATAATTACTATCAAGGGTAAAATGTTTTTAAAATTTTTTTAAACTTCTAATATAACAAATAATTTAATAATACTAATTTTAAAAATCACGACAAATAATTAGAGAAAATAAAAAGACCAACGGAGACCAAAAAGGAAAAAATAAATGCAACAATGAAATTCTTCTCCAATGAGAAATATCAAGATATAAGAAAATTAACATTCCTAAGTCATGACTTTGATTTGCATTTTCTTATATAGTAAAAAAAACTTTTCTTTAGTACTTTAATATTTTGAACTTATTATTACTTCAATTAATTCAAATTTACATTTGATAAGCTCGATAAAGGAAAACACGTCATATTAAAAAATTCTTAATTTTTAAACCTCGAACACACAAGTCACAAATTTTCATTAATAACAGAATTTTCTTAATCATTCAATCAACATTTCACTAGCTAACTTTCTTCACTCCATATTCTAATTAGACAACAATAGAGAGAATTTACGTTTTTACTTGTTCGAGTCTTTTCACCAACTACAAATATTAAAATTTTCAAAAACACAATTTTCTTAAAAACTAAAAAGTCAGGGGCGGAATGTCCACCTTTCCTCCTCGATAGGAAGAAGGGTGGACTCTACATTCCGCCCCTCGATACCAAAAGAAAATTGTATACCCAAAGAAGAAGAAATTGCATCAATTTCGGAAAGAAAAAAAAAATGTTCATTTGACTTGGCCCAACTAACTTGATCTCCACGCACTTCTCCCAAACCGTCACGCGTTCTTTTTTCAATAAATATATACTTCCTCATAAACTCCATTTATATATATATATATACTTCAACCTACCCCTTTCTCAATCCTCTCAAAATACAAAAGGAAAAAAAATCACAACTTTTCACACCATCAAAAACAGAGTATTCAAAAGAACTCATATAAAATGGGTCTTTCAAGGATTTCTACATCTATTTTGTTGATGTTTGTATTGTTTTTAGCTTCATTTTCATCATCAATGGAAGCAAGAAAGTTATTAAACTCGCATGAAGTGAAAAAAATACCAAATTTAAGGTCTCTGTATCTAAATGCTCTGCCTAAAGGCATAGTACCAGCTTCAACACCAAGCAAAAAAGGTCACTCTTATACCACAGATGAAAAGCTTATCGCCCGTCATCTTGCAACTATCGATCGGATTCTCCGGTCAGTTCCTAGCCCCGGAGTTGGCCATTAATTTTAATAACAGGCACGCGGTCAGAGCCTTGACTCTTTCCAACTCATGTTCTACACATGTAAACTTTTTTTTTTGATATTACAGTTTTGGATTCATTTTCTTGGAGGGAATTACATTAGGTCAGGATTTGTAAACACAATATAATTGGGAAAAATTGTACAGTTGGAGAGTGATGATATAGGATTTTTTAAAATTTATTTATGGAGTTGTACACAACTTATACTTTTATTTTGTTTTTGTTTTTGTTCTTGTTAGGATCATTTGATTTGATGATTATTAGTTCTTTTATTTCTAATTGAAATAAAAAAAAAACATTGAATCATGAGTCTGTATTTTTTTTTTCTTCCTTATATTAAATTCCAATTATTATCATTTTTGTTAAGAGTATAGCACAAATTGAACTATTTTATTTTATTTATGTATCAATAGCCTTATTAGGTGTGCTGGCAGTGACAATTTTTTCAAGAAAATGGAAAATTGTAATAATGGTCATTAACTCATTAAAAAGGCTTTAATTGGGTGATTGTACATGTGTGGTTCATGTACCAATCAAAGTATACGTGGCTTTGGTGTGAAAAATTGACTACTACAGTGCTTTTTTTTATTAAACTTTGATTTGCACATGTTACTCTTTGGTCTTTTATGAAATTAATCCAAGGGATTTTCAGAAAATTTATGTGAATATTCTTCCACAACGAAAAAGCAAAAAAAAAAAGGGGAAATAAAAACGCGTTAGGAGACTTCTTGTTCTTTTTTTCTTCCCTTTTTGCTAATTTGCTTTTTTATAAAGTATTTTGGTTATAATCTATAAGCTTTTTTTATATATATTTTGCATTTTGAAGGGCCATAGGAGCATGACATTACATAACAATTAAGAACTAGATAGCTAGCAGATGCTTCAAGAATGTTGTTTCCAGTTTCGACGGCCAATATTTTCTCCTTTCTTGGTGGATTTTCTTTTTGATTTTATTCTTGCTGCGTATTCGCATATTTGAAAAAATAAATTAAAAAAAAAAACTCCTCCATCCTATTTTATGTGGCACTTTTTTAATTTCGAAATTCAAAAGTCTATCTTTGATTATTGTATTTTTTTTTTTACGTAGTTTACAAATATATAAATTTCATTGCAAAAAATTAATATTTCATGCACAAATTCCCGATCAAACTTAAACTGTTTCGATTTCAAAAAATGAAAGTGTCACATATCATTTGAATATGTAATTTGACTTACGTGTACCGGCAGGTAATTGTCTAATGTGATAATTTTAAAATCATAACCTAGAAATTCGGTAAAACTATTTGTTAAAAGACATTTAAAATACATTAATATGGTAACAATTATTTACTCGGCTAGTTTTGTACATGTAAAGAGACTAGTGGTGGAATGAGTGAGGTTTTCATTTTTAATTAGAATTCGTGTTTAAATCTCGAGAATAAAAAATAAAATTGATATGAAGCACTTGTTCACTAATGAGTTTTATTATTACGATCCAAATTCATGCTATGTATTGTCTGTTTTGAGCAAATCGGGCTCATAGATTTGTCTCTTGTGTGTCATTATCAAGCCAAAAATATGCATATCATATGAATTTGTGGTATGCCCAGTAAAACTTTTCACTTTTTTTCCCATTCTGATGTGTAATACGCCTAAGATGTCATATGCATCTCTTTTTGCAAAGCTTGTCAACCTAGAAATCTATCAATCCACTTTCTATCACGGACATTACTCTTAAGTTGTGCGCGTGAATCTGAATTAAACAAGCCGATATCAGAAGGTAAGTACTGTGATGCCAAATAGGTCGAGCTTTTGATTTCTTTCTTAGAAAAGAAGATGTAAGAAAAATTTACCTTCAACTTTGTCTTGAATTCGAATTCATCTTCTAACTTTTGACTATATATGTACATATATCACCTTAATATTTTTTAAACAATAACATATATAGGGAGATTCATAATTTGAAAATCAAATGAATACTTATTGAGAAAGGAGGAAAACAATTACAATTTAAAATGCAGAGGAATTTTGTTAAGGAACAATGACTAGCTAGCAAAAACAAAATATAATAGTCCGATTTTTTATTTTAAAATTTTATTATAAGGTTTTAAGCTTCTTTTAAGTTAGGAGGGCGTTGGACGTTAGAATTCTATTTTTATTTTATTTCACTGTAGAGTGCGATAGATGTGGAATCAAGTTTTTGAAAGGCCATGAATGAGCTGCCTAAAAGTTGGGAAATTTGATTCCAACACTAATCTAATATTCTTCCATCTAAAGAATGGTTCAAAATCTAGCTTAATTTTATGTCAACATTGGCTTTATTTGGTCTCTTCCATTAAAAATATTTTAGTGGGATATGCGCATTACTTACATTGAGCTCATTGGAAAGCATCATAAGAACTTTTAACTAATTTTAGAACGTCGAAAAAGAAAAAAGAAAAAAAAAATAGAGAAGAAAATGTGTATTTAAATTTAATTTGACCGTGAGAAGCTCCAATGTTTCACTTCCTTATTATTTACCAACCTTTTGTAATAATTCATTAAATTTGAGTAATCTTTTTAATATAAAAATAATTTAGTTGATTTGATACCGTAAAGTGAAAGTAGAATGACTATCTGGTAACTTATCTCAATTTAAAAAAATAAAACTGAAATTCTCTGAAAATAGATTTGTTCTACTTTAGGTAATGACTAGAAAATATGTTTCTATCGAAGTTCAGTATTTTATAACTTTTTATTTATAGAATAAAATAAAAGCTAAAGAATTTCCCTAGGGTTCCTATTAGCTTTTAGTCAACTTGTAGGACCAAATAAATGTAAAGAAAAATTCAATGGGGACGAAATTGATGGATTTGTGACATATGAGACGAGCACAAGTCACATGCACTTGGGCGGCAAAAGGTATAAAGTGTAAACAATAACTTTTGAGGGACTTCTTTTTCTATATATTTCAACTATCATAAAGTACTAATTACTACACTTTAGTATCCATACTAAGCTATGATTCCTTTTTAGCCATTCAAATTATAATTATTGGTTAAGTGTAAAAGAAGTTTTTTCAATTTTTTATTGAGTGGCTCTGGTTGGAAACAAATTATTTCAGGATTAATTAACGAACACTTTTAGGGACATTTTAATATTGCAAATAAGTAAAGATTTAAGCAAATAACAACACTAATAGATCAAAAAAAGTCTTTTTATATTACATTACTAAGGAGGAAATCTATCATATAAGAATATATGTCTAATAACAACAATTAGTTCCAACATGACCAAACGAGTCCTTAGTTTCCAATTAGAAACAATATGCTATAAGTACAATTTGGGTCAAAATGGAGTTGTTAGTGGTTGAAGAGTCAACTTAATTAATCAGTGCATAGATAGTTAAAACAAAAGTGACGTTTTATAAGCAAGCAGATTAGTCACTTAATCATGGGTTGGTGAGAATTTTACACTTGACTGTCACATTATTAATTAGTACTACTAATTTCTATCAACTTTCAATCTGTTAAGGAACCGAAAGAAAGATCATTAGTCTATTTAGATAAGTGTTAAAATAACTAATCACGTTGACTAGTTTATAGAATTAGAAGATGGAAAGTAACACGCAATTTTTATTTTTTTTCATAATTATGGTCTACCAGAGGCAAAATTAACCCATAAAAATATATCCTGACCAACTTGTTTAAATTTTCAATCTAATAACTTGACTAATTAAAACGTGATCTGTCCAAATCGTTCAAATTTTCGATTCATAAACTTAACCATTGTTGATCCACCAAGTTCAGCCTTGCTAAAATATATTTTGTTTGCTTGTTTATGTTATATAGTCAATAGTTATATTAAAGAAAAAAAAAAGTTTTATTTGGTGTTTGAATAAAATATATTAAAATCTAATTCAAACTTAGTAACAGTTGATTAGTGAGTTATGACTAATTTCTTAGGCTATTTCAGTCTGGATGTTTAGACGGATCGTTACATTAACATAACCCTTTTTAATCCGACTCATATTTAGTTCAATTCGTCGATCTGACACCTCTTTTCCAGTTTCACGCGATTAAAGGTTTGATATTTTCAGTGCTCTTTAAAAACAAATTCAACTAACCTTATCTTAGTAACATTTTTTTATGACATTGTGACCGATGAATAAAATCAGGATAACATGAATTCCAAAAAAATAGGAACTATAATTGAAGCTTTTAAACCTATCTTATTTCACAAAGTTTGAACCTTACATTTCTTTTTTAGCTAATTTAATTTTCTTTTTCGTCTTCTTTTTTCTTAAGAAAATAATAATAAATCCAGCACATATAAATGAGTTATAAATGTTAAAGAAACATGTAAGCCATATTCCCGCGAAAGGTACAAACTGAAAGGCACATTACACAAGTTTATTGCAATTCAAGGGACATGTCACAACTATATTGTCGACCCCCTTTTAAATGTTTTACTCGTTCACTTTTACTTGTTCACTTTACATTTTGCACGCTTCTAAAAAAAATCATGGATAATATAAATATTTTACCACAATACTCATATTGAACGTATAGTTTTAAGTCTCGGAGAATAAGTAATTAGTATTAAGACTAAAATAAGAAGAAGAAGAAAAAATATTTTCTTGATATCTGAATAACGACAAATTAATAAAAATATTTTTGAAATATTACAATCAAATGAAGGGAGTATATTCAATTGATAGTGCCCTCACTACAAGAATAAACACTCTTGTTACATTATAAACAGTCAAGTATCTAGTGGAATTTGTGACAATTTAAATTTACTTGTAAGATTACATTAGATCGTATGATACGTTGTTTTATATATTTTTTTAAAAAGGACCATGTTTTTGGATTGTTAATCCAAGAAAAATGAGTACTATATATGTATACATACCTCCTTGTGATTGCTGGAATATGCATGTGAAATGAGTACTGAAGAGTAAATGTACAACATTCGTGTGGTGTAATAGAACAATATAAGAATGACAGATTTAAGTTATTTACACGAATATTTTACATCAATATACGGGTTAATTATAACATGTTACTCTTCTATTTTTTTTCATCAGATTATCATATCATCAAGCTTACTAAAAAATTTATCGATTGTTGCAAGTGAATTGATATCTTTAGGAAATAACAGATATGGAGTGCACGTGTGAACAGAAAATTACATATTTACGAGCTTGTGAGGACGTAAATGTTACTATGATCATTTCAAAGATAGAAATTCA